ATAGCTCACTTAATAACTCTCTTGCTTAGCAATGGAATTTTTGAGCTCAACTGTGGTTGTAAGTTGAGCATTACCTCTGTGGGGATGAATTAGGGCAAGAGATCATTGATTTGTAGATTGATTAGGCTAAGCCAGGGGTAGGCAACCTTGGCCTTTTTATGACTCGTGGACTTCAACTCCCAGAATTCCTTGAGACAGCCATGCTGAGGGGAAAGGGAGAGGTTTCCAAACTGAGCCATGCTGGCTCAGGAATTCTGGGAGTTGAAGTCCACGAGTCATAAAAGAGCCAAGGTTGCTTACCCCTGGGCAAAGCAACGTGACTGGTTTACCAGTAACCAATGCGAGCTTCCATGGTAGTAATATAGACTTGGACATGTGTCATAGAATGCATAGAGTCATAGGGCGGAAGGGACCCTGGAGGTCTTTCTGTTGTGAAATCAAACAGTGACGGGCAACGATGCTAACTACAATGGCCATCAAGGAAGGAAGGAAGGAGGAGGGAGGGAGGGAGGGAGGGAGGAGGGATGATCACGAGAGATTAGAACAAAGAACGTTTACCAAGATCTTCTGTGGGAATTAAGTCCTCTTCTATGTTGTAGTATCAATTCAATTTATTTAGGCAAGCTACACGTCATTTCGTAACTTCCATTACCGCCCTGTGACTGCAGTTCCGCAGTTTGAAATGAATCAAAGAAATCTCAGAATCAACAGGGAAAAAAACCCCACCCAAATAAATACAACCCCTTTCTTTTCCTCCCCCTATAAAAATCCTTTAGGAAGAAAAGCAATCCAAAAAGCAATCTCATCTTTCATCAGTTCTTTAGCACCACAAATTAATGGCTTGGCCTGTCATCCTTAAAAGTAGCAATAGAGTACCGCAATACCCAGATCTTAAAAACTCAACTGGGATTAATGCATGCATCTTTCATCACAACTGACATTCCTCCTTAACCAATCCTTCTGTTAAGGTCCTCAAAGTTATTCTGGGATAAATTGTAGGGACAAAGGATTGAGTAGGCTGGCTCAAATTCTCTACTCTTGAATAGATAGATGTACTCTGACTTGGCCAATGCCTTGCTACTCTCCAAGGCATCTTCCTATTTCTATAACCACAGGGACAACAGAGAAGAGAGGAAAGGGGAATCCAAAAAAATCCCACACTTTTATTTTCCATGCAGAGCAAAGAACCAGGAAAGGTCCATTTTGGTATCGCCCCTCCAAAACAAGACAAAATTAGATTCTTTTTAGCTTAGTGATGCTATAATACTAATCCGGAGCGTATCAGCAAAACGGTTCCTCTCTCACAAATGCAAAAATTTCTTATTCAATAGATCAAGCTCATCGCTGCAGCCTCAGCATTTAGCTCTCTGCTGCAGTGAATTTCCTTTGGCACAGAATTAATCCAGGAGAGCCGAGCATGTCGTGCAATTTTGTATAACATGATTTTTCCACCTGCCAGTCTTCACCTGTGGTCATTTGTTCCTCCCCCCCTCCCCAACTTCTTAAAAAAGATCCAGCAAAGTATAAATGAAAAAAAACAAAACAGACGACTTCCTAAATCAAAAAACCCCCAAATCCGGGGGTTTGGAGGAAGGGGATTCACTCTGGCACACTCATTAATTATTAGATAAATTGCTTATTGATTTCTTTGCATGCTTCCTGATGCCGTACGGCGCACACATCTTTCATACAAAGTGCTGATGGAACGAGGAAAGGTTGGCAGAGCAAATGTTCAGGAATGAAATACTCCGGAATGGAAAAGGAAGCAAACATGGCACCCTAGGGTGAAAATATTTTAAAATCCAGGAATGAAGTCAGTGGGACTTGGTTGAAATGCTGTCTTCCTAAATACTACACTGCTTTGAAAGCCTATCAGAAGGACCCACAAGCCTGTTTGACATGAAGATGATGATGATGATGATGATAATGACGATGAGGAGGAGGAGGAGGAGGAGGAGGAGGAGGAGGAGAAGAAGAAGAAGAAGAAGAAGAAGAAGAAGAAGAAGAAGAAGAAGAAGAAGAAGAAGAAGAAGAAGAAGAAGAAGAAGAAGAAGAAGAAGAAGAAGAAGAAGTAGTAGTAGTAGTAGTAGTAGTAGTAGTAGTAGTAGTAGTAGTAGTAGTAGTTGGAAGGGACCTTGGAGGTCATCTAGTCCAAGCCCCTGCTCAGGCAGGAAACTCTATACCACTTCGGACAACTGGCTGTCCAGTCTCTTCTTAAAAACTTCCAGTGTTGGAGCATCCACAACATCTGGAGGCAGGTTGTTCCACTAATTAATTGTTCTAACTGTCAGGAAATTTCTCCTTAGTCTTAGGTTGCTTCTCTCTTTGATGAAATCGATATGCTTCTGAAGAAGAAAACAGCTAACTCTGAAAAAGAACTTCAAGTGTTTGCATGTTCCTCACCACCACCACCATCGCCACCGCTACAAAAGGTCAGAACATCTAAAAGTGGAATCTACAAAGGACCAGCTTTTCTCAGTGTTTCGACGTAAGTGACAAGAACGGAAATTATTTCCGGATGACTAGAAAACTGGGCTGAAGACAGATACTCTTTTTAGCTTCCTTAAAACTAAAACTGGAGGGAACACACTCACAACTTACAACCTTTCGTTTAGCAACCACAATGACATTGAAAAAAGTCACTTATGGCCAGTCCTCACTCATAAGACCATAAGAGCATCCCCAGGTCACATGATCAGCATTCAGGCCCTTGGCACCCGGCGTGAGTTTATGAAAGTTGCAGCATCAAAGGTCTGCCACTTGCAAGTTTCTCAGCCAGCTTCCAACAAGCAAGCGAATGGGGGAAGCTGGTTTTGCTTAATGACTGCATGATTTGCTTAATAACTGTGGTGATTCGCTTAATAACCATTGCAAAAAAAAGGTCCTAAAATTGGGCACATGGAACAACTGCCTTGCTTAGCAACGGAAATTCTGGCCCCAAATATAGTCGTAAGTCAAGGTCTGCCTGTACTTAATCCATTCATTTTATGTATTGCTCTGGAAAGGCTAAAGAGGTTCAGATGGAATAATATATGCTAGGTGAAAAGTAATTCAGCAACCAGGGATGGGCAACTATGGACTCTGTGGACTTCAGCTTCCAGAATTATTGAGTCACCCATGATGGATCAGGAATTCTGGGAGTTGAAGTCCACAAGTCATAAAGCAGAGGTGTCAAACTCAATTTCATTGAGGGCCGCATCAACATTGCGGTTGCCCTTGGGGGGGAGCGGGGGTGTGTGGCCCTGGTGGGTGTGGCCTACTGGGTGGGCATGGATGGAGTGGGTGTGGCCAGTTCTACATCGTTCGCATCAAGGGTGCCTGTGGGGGCCTGGGCAGGAGTGGGACAGATCTGAGGGTCTCTGGCAGAAGGGAGTGGGACCGGGGCAAGCACCAAGGCATGGTCCATTTCTTCATTCCTCACAAAGGGTGACACCTCCCCAGCATGCACCCAGGGGGCGGGGGCGACGCAGCAGGGACTGGTTCCTCGCTGTTTCCGGACGGCCTTGTGGAGCTAAGACTGAATGCGTTTCAGCATAGATGGCCACCACAAAATTGTACATTGGCTCCCAGCTGGCCTGGGCCAGGGCCAAGGCAGTGGCCAAGGCAGTGGGCCAAGGCCACAGTTTCCAGGATGGCTTTGCGGGCCACATGAAACCACTTCGCGGGCCACATCCAGCCCCCGGGCCTTGTGTTTGACATGTCTGTCATAAAGGGATCGTCGTCGCTCATCCCTGAGCAATACTGACTCTCGACTGGAGATGGGGAGACTGAGGATCAGAAGGGAACTGGGGTAGCTGAAGAACAGGACATGTACCAGAACACAAAAGAAGACTTTTTGAAATTGGAAAAGATTGATTAAAAAACAAGCACTAAAAAACTTTACGCCCTTTTTAGCGGGTTTTTTCTTTTCCCTGGCCAGATTAAATTTTAAGACCTTTCTGAATTTCATTGAACCAAACGATTTTTACCAACAGGCAAGCATCTCAAGAAAAGGTTCCAAACAAGCAGGCAAACAAACATCTTTTGTGTAGGTGTTTATGCAATTGACAACCATCTGGTAGGAATGTCTCATGCAACACTTGTTCCTTTCCTGCTTGACATCTTGTTCAAGAAACATTGACGGGCAGGTTAGGAAAAGAGGTGACTGTTCCCCTTTTTACAATGAACTACTAGAAGACTGATGTAAGATAACACTGATTTTCAGAAAATACTTCTCGTCTTTGTTCAGAATGTTTACACTCACCTCTGGGCAGTTGTTTTTGTTTTATTTATTTTTATCCACCTTTATTCTTTCTAGAAATAACTCAAAGTAATGAACAAACTCTGTCCTCCGATTTTTTCCACAACAATCCTGTGAGGTGGGTGGGCTGAGAGAGGGACTGGCTCAAAGTCATCAAGTGGCTTTCACGCCTAAGCTTGGACTAGAACTTACCATCTCCCGGTGATTGACACCAAAATCACCCAAACCAGCTTTCATGCCTAAGGCAGGACTAGAACTCACCATCTCCCGGTGATTGACACCAAAGTCATCTAGCTGGCTTTCATGCCTAAGGCAGGACTAGAACTCACCGTCTCCCGGTGATAGGCACAACATCACCCAGCTGGCTTTTGCAGCTAAGGTGAGAGGAAAACTTACAGTCTCTTGGTGATTGGTCCAAAGTCACCTAGCTGGCTTTCATGCCTTAAATGGGACTAGAACTCACAATCTCCTGACAGCATGCTACCTGGAGAATTCTGGGAGTTGAAATCCACCCATCTTAAAGTTGCCAAGGTCGAGACACATTGCTCTTGTTCCAATTCATGAATGATCCTGGGTTTGATGCTTTGGTTCTGTTTGCTAGGAGAAATGGAATACCTTTTCCTCTTTTCGACACACGTCGCCTATAGCTCAGTCCCAACCCAGTGATCCTTAAGCCTCCTCTTGATGTTTTACACCCAATAAATTAATAAAGAAATAAAAATGCCTTGTCTTCAAAATACTGCCAGTCTCGGAAAGCAAATGATGCTTCTGTTGGAAAACGATAACTATAGATCAGAAAGTCCTCACCTCTCCCTTTGAAATGGAGGGAAAGACATAAATAATCTGCTTAACATGACAGTCAATTTTAGATATTCTTTTATTACACTTTATGGTCTATGAAGTGCTTTTCCTTATATGCCTTCCAGTGAATGCTATGTAATTCCTGCACGGATGATAGATTTCCCTTTAGAAAAAAAATAGCGGAGGTCTTAACTTTTTAATAGAAATCGCTCCCCAGGAATGCTTAGCCACAGTTCAAGCTGCTTAATTCAAAGAGTTATGTCGTTCATTTTAAGAAACTTTCAATGATATTAATCACGCCCAGCTATTTTTATTATTCCTGTCTAACAATGCTAATCTAGCATGAATAGACTCTTTAACCAGCATATTAATGCTTTTCCTCTCAAAAGTGGGGTTTAGTGGTAAAAAATAATATATATATATAGGTTTTCGCGGGTGTTTGTATGTAGGTCTTTGGTTATTCGGGTTTTCTCCCGCATCAAATTGGAAGTGTCTTGGCGACGTTTCGACAAAGTCTCATTCGTCATCTTCAGGCTGGTGTTTTCGGCTTCGTGCAAATTGCTCCTAGAAGCACGAAGCCAAAAACACCAGCCTGAAGATGATGAATGAGACTTCGTCGAAACGTCGCCAAGACACTTCCAATTTGATGCGGGAGAAAACCCGAATAACCAAAGACCTACATATATATATATATATATATATATATATATATATATATATATATATGTAGGTCTTTGGTTATTCGGGTTTTCTCCCGCATCAAATTGGAAGTGTCTTGGCGACGTTTCGACGAAGTCTCATTCATCATCTTCAGGCTGGTGTTTTTGGCTTCGTGCTTCTAGGAGCAATTTGCACGAAGCCGAAAACACCAGCCTGAAGATGACGAATGAGACTTTGTCGAAACGTCGCCAAGACACTTCCAATTTGATGCGGGAGAAAACCCGAATAACCAAAGACCTACATACAAACACCCGCGAAAACCTATATATATATATTATTTTTTACCACTAAACCCCACTTTTGAGAGGAAAAGCATTAATATGCTGGTTAAAGAGTCTATTCATGCTAGATTAGCATTGTTAGACAGGAATAATAAAAATAGCTGGGCGTGATTAATATCATTGAAAGTTTCTTAAAATGAACGACATAACTCTTTGAATTAAGCAGCTTGAACTGTGGCTAAGCATTCCTGGGGAGCGATTTCTATTAAAAAGTTAAGACCTCCGCTATTTTTTTTCTAAAGGGAAATCTATCATCCGTGCAGGAATTACATAGCATTCACTGGAAGGCATATAAGGAAAAGCACTTCATAGACCATAAAGTGTAATAAAAGAATATCTAAAATTGACTGTCATGTTAAGCAGATTATTTATGTCTTTCCCTCCATTTCAAAGGGAGAGGTGAGGACTTTCTGATCTATAGTTATCGTTTTCCAACAGAAGCATCATTTGCTTTCCGAGACTGGCAGTATTTTGAAGACAAGGCATTTTTATTTCTTTATTAATTTATTGGGTGTAAAACATCAAGAGGAGGCTTAAGGATCACTGGGTTGGGACTGAGCTATAGGCGACGTGTGTCGAAAAGAGGAAAAGGTATTCCATTTCTCCTAGCAAACAGAACCAAAGCATCAAACCCAGGATCATTCATGAATTGGAACAAGAGCAATGTGTCTCGACCTTGGCAACTTTAAGATGGGTGGATTTCAACTCCCAGAATTCTCCAGGTAGCATGCTGTCAGGAGATTGTGAGTTCTAGTCCCATTTAAGGCATGAAAGCCAGCTAGGTGACTTTGGACCAATCACCAAGAGACTGTAAGTTTTCCTCTCACCTTAGCTGCAAAAGCCAGCTGGGTGATGTTGTGCCTATCACCGGGAGACGGTGAGTTCTAGTCCTGCCTTAGGCATGAAAGCCAGCTAGATGACTTTGGTGTCAATCACCGGGAGATGGTGAGTTCTAGTCCTGCCTTAGGCATGAAAGCTGGTTTGGGTGATTTTGGTGTCAATCACCGGGAGATGGTAAGTTCTAGTCCAAGCTTAGGCGTGAAAGCCACTTGATGACTTTGAGCCAGTCCCTCTCTCAGCCCACCCACCTCACAGGATTGTTGTGGAAAAAATCGGAGGACAGAGTTTGTTCATTACTTTGAGTTATTTCTAGAAAGAATAAAGGTGGATAAAAATAAATAAAACAAAAACAACTGCCCAGAGGTGAGTGTAAACATTCTGAACAAAGACGAGAAGTATTTTCTGAAAATCAGTGTTATCTTACATCAGTCTTCTAGTAGTTCATTGTAAAAAGGGGAACAGTCACCTCTTTTCCTAACCTGCCCGTCAATGTTTCTTGAACAAGATGTCAAGCAGGAAAGGAACAAGTGTTGCATGAGACATTCCTACCAGATGGTTGTCAATTGCATAAACACCTACACAAAAGATGTTTGTTTGCCTGCTTGTTTGGAACCTTTTCTTGAGATGCTTGCCTGTTGGTAAAAATCGTTTGGTTCAATGAAATTCAGAAAGGTCTTAAAATTTAATCTGGCCAGGGAAAAGAAAAAACCCGCTAAAAAGGGCGTAAAGTTTTTTAGTGCTTGTTTTTTAATCAATCTTTTCCAATTTCAAAAAGTCTTCTTTTGTGTTCTGGTACATGTCCTGTTCTTCAGCTACCCCAGTTCCCTTCTGATCCTCAGTCTCCCCATCTCCAGTCGAGAGTCAGTATTGCTCAGGGATGAGCGACGACGATCCCTTTATGACAGACATGTCAAACACAAGGCCCGGGGGCTGGATGTGGCCCGCGAAGTGGTTTCATGTGGCCCGCAAAGCCATCCTGGAAACTGTGGCCTTGGCCCACTGCCTTGGCCACTGCCTTGGCCCTGGCCCAGGCCAGCTGGGAGCCAATGTACAATTTTGTGGTGGCCATCTATGCTGAAACGCATTCAGTCTTAGCTCCACAAGGCCGTCCGGAAACAGCGAGGAACCAGTCCCTGCTGCGTCGCCCCCGCCCCCTGGGTGCATGCTGGGGAGGTGTCACCCTTTGTGAGGAATGAAGAAATGGACCATGCCTTGGTGCTTGCCCCGGTCCCACTCCCTTCTGCCAGAGACCCTCAGATCTGTCCCACTCCTGCCCAGGCCCCCACAGGCACCCTTGATGCGAACGATGTAGAACTGGCCACACCCACTCCATCCATGCCCACCCAGTAGGCCACACCCACCAGGGCCACACACCCCCGCTCCCCCCCAAGGGCAACCGCAATGTTGATGCGGCCCTCAATGAAATTGAGTTTGACACCTCTGCTTTATGACTTGTGGACTTCAACTCCCAGAATTCCTGATCCATCATGGGTGACTCAATAATTCTGGAAGCTGAAGTCCACAGAGTCCATAGTTGCCCATCCCTGGTTGCTGAATTACTTTTCACCTAGCATATATTATTCCATCTGAACCTCTTTAGCCTTTCCAGAGCAATACATAAAATGAATGGATTAAGTACAGGCAGACCTTGACTTACGACTATATTTGGGGCCAGAATTTCCGTTGCTAAGCAAGGCAGTTGTTCCATGTGCCCAATTTTAGGACCTTTTTTTTGCAATGGTTATTAAGCGAATCACCACAGTTATTAAGCAAATCATGCAGTCATTAAGCAAAACCAGCTTCCCCCATTCGCTTGCTTGTTGGAAGCTGGCTGAGAAACTTGCAAGTGGCAGACCTTTGATGCTGCAACTTTCATAAACTCACGCCGGGTGCCAAGGGCCTGAATGCTGATCATGTGACCTGGGGATGCTCTTATGGTCTTATGAGTGAGGACTGGCCATAAGTGACTTTTTTCAATGTCATTGTGGTTGCTAAACGAAAGGTTGTAAGTTGTGAGTGTGTTCCCTCCAGTTTTAGTTTTAAGGAAGCTAAAAAGAGTATCTGTCTTCAGCCCAGTTTTCTAGTCATCCGGAAATAATTTCCGTTCTTGTCACTTACGTCGAAACACTGAGAAAAGCTGGTCCT